GCCATGTTGTCGAACAGTGTCGTTAATTGTTACGGAAGGTTATTATTTTGAGATATCAAGTCGGAAATTATACAAAAGTGAGCATTTAAAGAATTTTGCTTTAAATGCTCTGTAGAGTGATTCAGCACGCTCGCATCTTTTTATCATTCCCCAGTGTGTTCGTAGGACTGATGAAAAGTTTGAAAATTAGAAATTTTCAGAAAATGTGTTATTGGACTGCCGATCTGGGGAGCAACCTAGGGCCCTCTATATATTCATGCCCATTGTAGGCTGCATCCCCGATCCCCGAGACTTCGTCTTACTTTCGTCTGGTTTGCACTCTCTCTTCATACCAAGTTACTAGCTAGGTAACAAGGTAATCGAGACAGTTTTCAACGTAACAACGATTTCAGCCGGTTCGGACAAATCTTTGTTCTAACCATTTGAACAACAAATCAGTGCACTGCCATCTGTACGCGTCCTCACACACTGTTCTTAAACCAGAGTTAGCTTTATACCAACATAGTTCACGAAACATTTACTTGTGTGTACCCCTAATCATCGAATTACCACCCAATTTCACGCTATTACAACTCCCTGCAACTCCACTGCAACTCCAAGCTCTTAATTACGCCTTATATGGATGTGTAATTAGCTTTGCAAATATCACGTGCTAGATGCAGCTTTTAATTACGCCTTATATGGTGCGTAATCGGGTCTGCATGATAGCTCAATGTCACGCGCTATATATCCAACCAGTAAACGCGCTCAATCGATATCTCGTGACTGTCACGTGACAGCTATCCAAGGAAATTCTCTATATGGCGCCTCCGGTGTAAACTAGGAAAGAGCTAGTTTGAGCTTTAAATAGGCAGGACACCGCTGAATCTGCAGCTGAAATTTATAACTTCTACCATCACTCAAGCAGGTGGCGGTGAAGTTGAAAGTCAGCCTGAGTGAGCGTGTTAAATCACTCCTTATGCTACATTGTCCCGGTCACTAAGTACTCCCTGTACTAGACGTAATAATAATAATAAACTATAATAATAATAATAACTATGATATAAAGTAGTGGATGACCTTGCTGTACGGCAAGTTAAACAAGGATCTGAAACTACTAGGTTCCGTACAGACTCAACTCTGCACCCGTGTCAATATGTTCATTATATGCAAGCCTCTTGATTTATAAGTTATTATAATAACTATTTTAGTCTGATTTGAACATACTACCATAATTTTGAATCCCCTAACTTTATTATTAGCTCCACTCTATCGGATATTTGTAACAGTACGTAGAGTGTAGAGTCATGCCACTGCCAGGAGAACACAACTTCACCCCAGACTTCACCCTAACTCCCTCCATCCTCCACGACTACCACACTCACGGCTACATTCTACTGAGGAACTTCCTGGCTCCCTCCGAGGTGGACAATACTCTCCGGGTGTTCACAGAGACAGATGTTATAGAGCGGTTTGGGTATGGCATTCCTGACGCTTCTGGCAGGATGCCAAGGATGGTTTTATGGAATACCCCTGGGGATGATGTTACTGGAATGATATGCAGGTAATGAATGACATATTTCTCATAATATGTTGCCTTCCGTCAGTCTACAATCGTTAACGAATGGTGGATTTACTATCTCCGCACAAGTTAATTTACCCCCTCACACTTGAGTTAACTTGTTTTAGTCACTTGTGGGTGTTGCAGGTGTGAGAAGGTAGTGAGCACTGCTGAACAACTCCTAGGAGGAGAAGTGTACCACTACCACAGCAAGATGGTGATGAAGGAGCCGCTGATAGGAGGGAAGCAGGAGTGGCACCAGGACTATGGTTACTGGTACAACAACGGGTTGCTTACCCCTGACGCTCTCAGTGTCTTCATCCCTCTGGATACGTGTACTAGGGAGAACGGGTGTCTTCAAGTTATTGCAGGGTCCCATAAGTGCGGTAAGATCGAGCACGGGCTTGTAGCTGGACAAACTGGGGCGAATCTGGAGAGAGTGGAGGAGATTCAGGGGGATAAAACGGGGAGGTTTAGGCACCTTTTTGTGGAGATGTCACCCGGTGATGCGCTGTTCTTTCACTCGAATGTTCTGCATATGAGTGAGCCGAATGACTCGGAGAAGATAAGAAGAGCTCTGATTCTGGCTTATAACAGGAGGGATAATTCAGCAGGAAGGAAGGAGGTTACCGGGCATCATCCTATGTATTCGCCTATTGAGAGGGTCCCTGATTCTGCTATATTGGGTTGCGATAATTTCAGTGATTTTACTGGAAAGGAATTTTTGTTACCTGCAAACGACAAGACTGTTACAGCTGCTAAATAAAGATGTATTATTTTCTTAGTTTGGTCTTTTTATACCTCATAAGTGTTAGGATTTACATTATCTTTTTATATAACATATAGTTATTTTTGTTGTATTGTTAATAGTATAACTTTTTATAAACAAAAGACGGGAAATCTTTGTTTCATTTAAAGTTATCGGCTCAAACCTTATAGCTTTAGTGTAAAACAATTAAACAGCCGTTCACCAAAAATAAGTAATAACGAATATTAAGAAATAAGAATATGATCTTTATTTCAGGTATGCGGTAGGGGTTACATCACTCAACAATTGTATCTATGCTGTAGGAGGATTGGATGGTACACGACCTTTAGCAACAGTAGAAAGGTAAATCACCTCCCTACCTCCCTCCCTCTCTCCCTCCCTCCCCCTCCCTCCCTCCCTCCCTCCCTCCCTCCCTCCCTCCCTCCCTCCCTCCCTCCCTCCCTCCCTCCCTCCCTCCCTCCCTCCCTCCCTCCCTCCTCCCTCCCTCCCTCCCTCCCTCCCTCCCTCCCTCCCTCCCTCCCTCCCTCCCTCCCTCCCTCCCTCCCTCCCTCCCTCCCTCCCTCCCTCCCTCCCTCCCTCCTTCCCTCCCTCCCTCCCTCCTTCCCTCCCTCCCTCCCTCCCTCCTTCCCTCCCTCCCTCCCTCCCTTCCTCCCTCACTCCCTCCCTCCCTCCCTCCCTCCCTCCCTCCCTCCCTCCCTCCCTCCCTCCCTCCCTCCCTCCCTCCCTCCCTCCCTCCCTCCCTCCCTCCCTCCCTCCCCCTCCCTCCCTCCCCCTCCCTCCCTCCCTCCCTCCCTCCCTCCCTCCCTCCCTCCCTCCCTCCCTCCCTCCCTCCCTCCCTCCCTCCCTCCCTCCCTCCCTCCCTCCCTCCCTCCCTCCCTCCTCCCTCCCTCCCTCCCTCCCTCCTCCCTCCCTCCCTCCCTCCCTCCCTCCCTCCCTCCCTCCCTCCCTCCCTCCCTCCCTCCCTCCCTCCCTCCCTCCATCCCTCCCTCCCTCCATCCCTCCCTCCCTCCCTCCCTCCCTCCCTCCCTCGCTCCCTCGCTCCCTCCCTCCCTCCCTCTTCATTAATAAACCCTACTCAGGTACGACCCTCGTGCTGATAAGTGGAGCGCAGTTGCTGAGATGGACACTCAAAGAGCTGGTGTTGATGTCGCAGTTCTTAATGAGGACCTCTATTCTGTGGGCGGTAAATATTGATTTATCAGATCGTCAAATTAAGTGTAGATATTTTAAGAATACAAATTGATTACTTAATCCTGAGAAAAACAAAAATTTTGCTACTCTTCAATCCCAAGAATTGCCACGTCATAATCTCCAGATAAATCATTTATTCCAGTTATTTATTCCAATCATTTATTCCAGGTATTCTGGGATCCTCACCTCTACAAACTGTGGAGAAGCTGGATATTCGAGCTAATAAGTGGGTTTACGTCGCAGAAATGAGCATTCCACGCGTTGATGCCGGGGCAGGATCCATTTCCCTGCTGTAGTGTAACGTCATCTAATACAACCGTGACGTCATTTATACAACTGTGACGTCATCATTTCCCCTGATGTAATGTGACGTCATTTATACAACTGTGACGTCATTTCCCAGCTGTAATTTGTGACGTCATTTATACAACTATGACGTAATTTATACAACTATTACGTCATGAAATGTCTCGGGAAATAAAAAGCCTCAACTTTTTAGCTTTGTGGTTTACGACGAGATCGTATTCTTTTTGAGGATAGTGATAAGACGTTATTTGGAAATGACTATTGTACGAGTCAGCTCCGAAGGTTTATCAGTTATTGTTTACAGCTATATTGGCATTATACCATCTGTAATCAATGCTGTTTTTAATAGTTCAGTGGTAGTTATAGAATTAATTAAAAGATTCTACGTAATTGAAAATTTAAAGTTAGATTGTTAGATTATTACTAAATCCAATCACTCTATGTTGATCTAAATTTTGATCTGTTTTATATTTTGAAGTTTTAAGAGTAGATTTTATTGATAAGCAGTCCTTTGATTGGCATATCATGCCGCATATGATCAAAATTGAATTCAAAATATTGGTTGATTTATTCGATTAGTTCATTTTAAATGTATCAAGTTAACAATCAAAATCTATTGACAGAAAAGGCCATAAATCCCAATACAACTTCATGGAATTACGGGAATTATTAAGTTATACTTATGCATGCAGCAAATTGCGGACGATATATTTAATTTTTTACTATTATTTATGAAAATTTATTGCGATGTATTATAACTGCATGATAATGGAATTAACGTTAAAATCGAACCCAAAATTGTTGTTTCCATTTGTCTTTGCTATAGATCATCTTTAAGAAAATTATGTCCAGTACGTTAAGAACGTACAGAAGTACAGAATCACAACTACTACCCGGTCACTTTAGTCTCCTATAGTGGAACCCTCTAAATAAGTTAACACCCGTCTTATAGTTCCTCGTACTCAGTTCTGAGTTCTCCCTACTTAAACGTCCTTCTCCTCGTTTCTTCTTCTTCTCTTCGCTCTCCACTGCTCCTGTTAGTGTTACTCCTTTTACAGTATACTCTCCTACTTCCTCTCTCCTTCTTCATTCAGTCCCCCTATTTTTATATTCCTGATCGTCCTCCTTTTCTTCTTTCTTCCCCTCCTTTTATCCTTATGATATATTACTAATGTAAAAGCAAGAATAAGGCACTTTTGGTTGGAAAAAAATAAATGAAATATCTAAAATTACTGTTTATTCATTTCAAATAAAATAAAAAAACTAAAACCACTTACCAAGTTAAAGTATCACATTCTTAAAATAAATTATTATATTAATCCTAATAAACTGATTATTACTATTAACCATGCTCAAATTTGCTATCATTAGTGATCTTTCTAAAACTATAAAAGATATGTTCTACATTCTTTTAACATTTATTTCATGTGGGCTGAGGGTCACTGCCTCTTCACTTTTGCGTACGTGAGTTTAGTTTCGTTTCTATGATTAGGTTCTTTCGATCGTTGACTCTTTGCAATCTCCGAGAATCAGTGAATGTGATTTGAGGCTGGCGGATGAACCACCGTTTTCCTCTTCGTCTACAGGTTTAGCTTTGACGGCAGGTTTAGCGGCATTTTTGTCGGCAGGTTCTATAGCTGCTGGTTTGGGAGCATCTTCGTCTCTTTTAACGAAATTATTTATCCAATTGTAACCAAAGATTGACCCAAAACCACTAAACGCTGTTTTCATATTTTTTTCCATTTGTGCACCCAGCTCATTCATTTTTACCCTCCATTCTTCCATTTGCTTTCCAAAGTCACTCATTTTACCAAACTGTGTTGTAAAATCCGTGCCGTTGTACATTTTGAAGATTTTGTCTCCGATTTTTGCGCAGTCCACTTTAGCATCCCCACTGCAAGCACTGTACGTAAACGTAACTGCGCTGCTCTCTACCGTTTTGTCATTTACACTGACAAGAGCTGAGAATCCCACCGGAGTTGAAATGCACACTTGGCCTTCCGCACAATCTACTAAGGTGCTGTCCGAACATGCTTCTGAGAATGAAAAATTTAATTAAATTTAATTAACTGTGAAATTAACACAAGATTTTTATCAAATTTGAAAACCCAAAATCTCATTGACTAGGTTGTACCACATAACCTAGCACTTTGCCTAAAAGTTCAGAACTCCTGGACCTATGAAGTATGTGGCATTCCTGCTCCCTGAACAAACAAACAAAAAAAACCCTAAACTATACTCACTAAGTCCATCAGGAAGTTTTTGAGAAGAGCCATCCTGTTTAACCACGTCTGAAAAAGTAGCACAGCCGTCGTTACACTTGACTGCGTCAGTCTGGTGGTGGCAGAGGAAGATCAGGAGTAGAACTAGGACTCCTCTCATGGTGAGGTCTTACTATGCTATTTGAATTAGTTGTGAGAGTTGTTATCTTATCTAAAAATCAACCTATGATATAAGTTATTATAATAACTATGGTAACCATAACTTAGTAGTAATAACTATAAAGAATAGCATATACATATTATAGAGAAATGTAATTTTAACACCTGTAGTTAGATTTGACTTGTACTTGTAAAATTGTAGTTCATGCAACATATGTCCCATAAAAATCCTGCGATCAGATAAACAGGTGTCACTGATAAGAGTAAGACCAAAGACCTCGATCTTAATTTTTCCGCAGATGCGATAAATATCTGCTTTTACCTAAACACGCATAAACTGACCACAAAAAGTTAACATAATGCTCCAACATGATCTGAATGAGCTCTAATCTTAGCTCCAAGTTAACCACAAATAAAATTAGTAATTAGTGCAGACTTGTTATACAAAGAAGCTTTGTAAGTCGCTTTATATTAACAAAGTTATGAGTTTGAGCAAACTTGCTAAGTTTTCTCTAGCTCCCTCTGTGATGTTAATATATGATACATATTATATTTAAAGTAGTCACATGATATACATGAGCCTGAAGACACAAAAGATTAGTAACATGAGACTGCCATAATTATGAACTAGAAGGCTCGACGCTGTGTAATATGTTAGTAATTTCATGTTGCTGGCTGCTGCCAGTGTAAAATACAATACGATCACACGCCGGCTAAGTACAGACTGAATGGTTCTGGTCTGATAGGCTACTCTAACAGAGATTACAGCTCGTCAAAAGTACTTAATTTTTATTAACTATCAAAATAGCTATTTCAAATGTCCTGTAGTTTTTGAAATGCAACCTATATTTAAAAACATATCCTTGTGTTTCAAGTGTATCAACCCTTTAATCCTTAAATCTTTCATATCCTGTAGTACTACTAATAGTAGAATTACAAAGAAAGCACGTGCATCGGGTCATGAATGTTGATTTTACTATAAAAAATAGTCTAATTTTTTATAGAATCAGGAAAAAGTAGTAATTCTTGAGGCACGTCCGTACTAAAAGTAAACGTGATTAACTTAAATGAAGGTTTCTCTGCTCTGAGTCTTTGCTCTTAAGGATACAAATTTTTATTTTTTAATCGTATGTTTCAGATGTTAGAACTTCAAATTCTACAAGATAGTGGCTTTTCAAACCCTACGGAAGTCTAAACTTTTAAAAATAGGCTTTATATACAGTTATATCATTGGCAAAAAGTGAAACACAAACCTTAATTTAAACAGTGAAATATTTAACAAACAAAAAACAGTGAATCAGAAACAATAACCGTATAACAACAAACGAGAGGTAGATGTAATATTTGTAACAATAAAATCATGATTTACAGCAGCCCAATTTACCAAACCCATGTTTCTTTCCCAAAATATTTTATAAAAACGCTTACGTTTTTAGTATAATATTTCGCAATCTTTCCAAGTTTCACAGACCGCGGTGTAAACTCTTACTGGGCCGCGCTCAGCCTTACTGGGCCGCGCTCAGCCTGTCATTCCGCCGAATCTCTATTATGATTATGAACATAAAATAGCCTGAGGTCCCGGCCAGGTAATGTAAACTCGATCTCGAGCGATTTTGTCAGGCTCGTTTACACGTACGTATTATAACATTAACTGGTCAACATTGCAATGATGATATGCGTCATGCTTATAATTTCACATGCAGGTTGACTGCAAGAGGAAAGAGACAGGATTGTCGATATTCAAAAAGAATGTTTCTGACGTTGACGCTGTTATTGCCGGTCAGGCTGTAAAGTCTAATACTGAGTACATTGTCTCCATTACTCCTGAAACGTCCCAAGGTTATACAAATTATTGAGAATTTTACAAAATTTATTGGAATTTATGAAGGACTGAAAAGTTTGGTAAAGCGTCGTCACATTCAGTTTATTACTATCAACTGTTATGTATTTGAAACACAACTCTTGGACAATAGAAATATTCTTAAATACACTCTATAATTAAATTTAAATATTTCAGGTTTTGGACCAGCTCTCTCTCCAAAAACGTGTCAACTCTTTCCGGATGCACTGCTACACGTTCCTCCTTTTTAGTGAATTTCTTTAGTGTTTTGATTGTCTTTGATTGTTTTTATTGGTTATGAGATTTGACATATTGTTGCACTCATGAAGTTATGATTCCCCTGTTTCATTTTGAACAATAAAAGTCTTTATATATTTTTGAAAGAAATTTTTATACGGGCCGAATCGCCGGCGGCGAAGATATAATTTCTTAATGGAAGAAAAATTGGTGTTTATGCATCAATATCGGGATCCAAAAAAGCGCCATGTTTGTCGCACAGTTTGTCGTTAATTTGTTACGGAAAGGTTAGGGAATAATTTTATTATATATTAAATATTTAGTTAAATTTTTAATTTAGAAATATTTATTAAATTTTTGAAATTAATTAAAACCTTAACTTTGAGATTTTGGATATCAAGTCGCGGAAAAGCAAAGGATAGAAATTAAATGAGACAAAGTGTTTGCATTTAAAGAATTTGCTTTGTTTAAATGTCTCTGTCTGGTAGAGTGAGTCAGCACGCTCGCTTCCTTTCATCAGTTCCCAGCTGTGTGTTCGGTGGACTGATGATTTGAGTGAAAAGTTTTTTGTATCTCATTAGAAATTTTCAGGGAAGGAAAAATGTGTTTTCTTGGACTGCCGCCGAATCTGGGGAGACCTAGGGCCCTCCTCCCTCTCCTCCCTCTTTTTATTATCATTGCCCATTGAAGGCTTGCATTCCCCAATCCCGAGAGGCGTTTACTTGGTTCTGGTTTGCACTCTCTCTTCATACCAAGATTACTAGCAGCACCCCCCCCCCCAGCAGACATCACCCTCCCCTCCGGTCAATAGGTAACAAGGGTAGGGGGGATTATCGAGACAGGGTTAGTTTTAACGGAACAACGATTTCAGCCGGATTCGGAACAAAATCTGGTTTGTTTCTAACCATCGTTTAACAACAAAGCAGTGCACTGCCATTCCTGGCCGCGTCCTCACACACGGTTTCTTAAACCCAGAGTTTTGGAGTTAGCTTGTTACCAAATGTCTACAGTAGTGAACGAAACATTGACTGGTATGTTCGCTATCAGCGAATTTTACTCCACCCATATTGCAATTTCAGATGTGACGCTTATAATTACATAACTCCGGCAAACTCCACTGGCAACTCCATAGCTCTGTAATTACGCCTTATATGGATGTGTGTAATTAGCTTTGCAAATATCACGTGCTAGATGCAGCTTTAACGTCCTACTCGAGCCCCCCGGTTTCGCAACTGCGGCATCCCTAATATGGTGCGAACATCTCACTTGTGTACAATAAATACGTAATGGGGTTCGCTGCATGGATAGCTTCCTTGTCTACGCGCTATAATCCCAACCCAGGTAGGTGGGCTATTAAAACGCGCTCAAAATCGATATCTCGTGACTGTCACGTGGACAGGCTATATCCAAGGAAATTCTTATATGGCGGCCTCCGGGTTGTACGTGGGTTGGTGTGGTTGTGTAAACTAGGGAAGGTAGACAATAGAAGGAATGGAAGGAAAAGAGCCGTATAGTATTTGACTTTTATAAAATAGGCAGGACCCCGCTACTTTCTGCAGCTGGAGGAATATCTATAACTTACCATCACTCAAGATGGGGGCGGCGGCGAAGTTGAAAGTCACGCCTGTGTGAGGGGGGGGGAGCGTGTTTGTTAAGTTAAATCACTCCTTCTATATGCTATCATTGTCCCGTGTACTAAGTACTCCCTGTACTAGGACCGTATTAATAATAAATAAAACTATTACAATATTAATAAACATGATATAATTTTCTCTATAATATCTTTTTTTTAGTCTGATTTGATTTGTAATACTACCATACTTTTGAATCACCATAACTTTATTATTAGCTCCACTACTCTATCGGATATATTTGTTGAAAAACAGTACGTAGAGTGTGTGTGTTAGAGTCATTGGCCACTGCAGGAGAACACAAATTCACCCCACAACAGACTTCACCCAACTCCTCCAACCTCCACGAATACCACATCACGGCTACACTACTGAGGAACCTTCCTGGCTCCCTCCGAGGTGGACAAATAACTCTCGGGTGTTTACTACAGAGAACAGATGTCCTTATTAGAGCGGTATTTTTTGGGTGGTGGGGTTTTATTATGGGCATTTCCTGACGCTTTTGGCAGAATGCCAAGGATGGTTTTTTTTGGGAATACCCTGGGGATGCTGTTACTGGAATGATATGCAGGTTAATATAAAATGACTGATTTCTCATAAATATGTTGCCTTCCGTAGTCGACAATCGTTAACGAAAGGTGGGATTTTACTATCTCTCCCCCGCACAAGGGTTAAATTTACCCCCTCACACTTGAGTTTACTGTTTTAGTCACTTGTTGGTGTTGTTGTTATGATGATGGTGTTTGTGTTGGCAGGTGTGAGAAGTGCGGGGTATGAGCCACTGGCTAGGTGAAAAAACTCTCGGAGGAGAAGAGTGTACCACTACCACTGCAAGTGGCTGATGAAGGAGCCGCTGCTAGGAGGGGGGGTGATAGACAGAAGGAGTAGGAGAATGGCACAGGGACTTTGGTATTATCTGGTATTTCCAACACCGGGTTTGCTTACCCTGACGCTTCTCTGTGGTCCTTCATCCCTTGGATACGTTGTTTACTAGGGAGGAAGGGTGTCTTCAAGTTATTTGCCGGTCCCATAAGTGCGGGAGGGAAAAGGCATGGGCAGGGGAGGACGCGAAAAGGGAAAGGGAAGATCGCAGCATGGGCTTTTGTAGCTGGACAAATGGGCTGCCGAATCTGGCGAGAGTGGTGGAGTGCGTGGAGGAGGTTCAGGGGGATAAATTTTAAAAAACGGGGAGGTTTAGTGCACTTTTTTGTGAGATGTCACCCGGTGGGATGATGCCGCTGTTTCTTTCTCTCGAATGTTCTGCATTATGAGTGAGCCCGAATGACTCGGAGAAGATAAGAAGAGC